GGGGTTGCTTTGGTGGGGGTGAGAGGTGAGTTCAACAGTCAGCTGATAAAATGAAATGGAGTTTGGTTACTCCTGAAATCCTTAGGCCACCCATAAAAGAAAGGTAATATGATCTTGTTTATACAGCCCTCTATCGTTAAAATTTTACATGATAGGCCCCAAGTGGCTCTTCGGTTTCTTCCTTGAAGATTGTCACCAGTCCCATCATCTGTCACTTGACTACTTGCGTGGTTTACTTATTTATTTACCAGTGGTCAGAAAAGTTCCTGGCATTCACACATTCTTTCTAATAAGTATTTGGCCTAGGGTACATTATCACTGAATAGGATGACTTTTTTTTTTTTTTTTTAAGACTTGTTTTTACTTATTTTTTAATTTTTATTTTTTTTTAAAAATTTTTTTCAACGTTTTTTTATTTATTTTTGGGACAGAGAGAGACAGAGCATGAACGGGGGGAGGGGCAGAGAGAGAGGGAGACACAGAATCCGAAACAGGCTCCAGGCTCTGAGCCATCAGCCCAGAGCCTGATGCGGGGCTCGAACTCACGGACCGCAAGATCGTGACCTGGCCGAAGTCGGACGCTTAACCGACTGCGCCACCCAGGCGCCTCTATTTTTTAATTTTTAAATTGTTTTAATGTTTTATTTATTTTTGAGAGCAAGAGAGACAGAGCACGAGCAGGGGAGGGGCAGAGAGAGGGGGAGACACAGAATCCGAAGCAGGCTCCAGGCTCTGAGCTGCCAGCACAGAGCCCGATGCGGAGCTCGAACTCACAGACCGCGAGATCATGACCTGAGCCGAAGTCTGACGCTTAACCAACTAAGCCACCCAGGTGCCCCAAGACTTGCTTTTAAAAATCAGTTTAGGTGAATTTAAATAGCTTCAATGTATATAACTATCCTGCATTTCAAGGTTTGTTATTGTACTCCACAAACCCGGAGCATCCAGTTCAGATTAATAATATTCCCCTGCCTCCCCTCTTAGTTTATTAGAACTACCCTATTAACTTACCCTAGAAAAGAATCACCCTGTTAGTTTATTCGTTTATGTAGTAATTATTAAGTATGGGCAAGCATGGCTCTAGGCATTGGGAACATAGGAGTGAAAAAAACAAAGTCCTTGTTCTCATAGAACTTACATTCCCGTGGGGAAGGTGGGCAGCAAAGACACCCGAAAGGAAAAGAAATTATTTCAAGTAGTGTTGTGTTACAAAGAAACGTCATTGGGGTAGCCGGCCATGGAGGGGTCCGGCTGTTTTATGTAGAGGGGACAGTTGCCTCTCTAAGGAGGTGACTCCTTAGAGTCACCTGGGACCTGCATGGAGAGGGGGACCGAGCAGTGGGGAGGTGCGAAGCCTGAAGTTTGTCAGGTGTCTCGTCCGCCACGACTCCACGACTCTTGTTTCCAGACTCAGTTGAGCACGCTGTGCTTTCTCCCCGTGAGCAGCGGCACAGTGGATGTCTTGTCGGTGTAAGCGTGCCGAGTGGCAGGGGTGTTTGCTCCAGCTCCCGCCGCTTCCAAGAAGAGACCGTGACACCCGGACAGAGTAGGTTAGAGCTGGTTGAGGTTGTTCCCCAGGATAACAATTACGGATTTCAACTAGGATACCTACTAACAGAAATGAGAAAGTCCATGGAATTTGATCTGTTTTGTACTTTATTTTGTAACGTATTTAAATATATTGTACCTGATTTTATTAAGGGCTATTTTATTTATTTTTAACAGGAATCACTAGATTTGATCTACTTGGAGACTTTGGAAGGTTTAATTGGCTGGGAAATTTCTATATTGTATTATCCTACAATTTGCTTTTTGCTATTGTGACAACATTGTGTCTGGTCAGAAAATTCACCTCTGCTGTACGAGAAGAACTTTTCAAGGCCCTAGGTAATCCTGAGGTTTATGGGTATTTTTCTCGCTTTCTACTAATTTTTAATTTTGCCATATGAATTGATTTTAAGTCTTCATCTCTTCATTTTTCCTGATGTGTAACACCTTAGAGGTCACATTTCTGACCCACTCCTTATTGGTTGTGCTCTTGTGTAAAATTATTTCATTAAGCCTCGGCTTCCTTATCTATAAAATGGTGATAATACCTTCTTCTCTTGTTGTGGATGTTAACTGAAATATTTCTTGTAAGGGCCTGAGCATAGTCCTGGCACATCAGAAGGGCTCAATAAAATGAGCTCTTTTATCGTTAAGACGATGGTGGTTGTGGTGAGGTGAGGGTAATAACGGGCTAAGCTTCTCTTTTGGTAACGACACCTCTTACTGTTTTTTAGTTGCAGATCTCTTTTGAGGCTTGGAGTTTACAATATCAAGCTGATCCATAATTCTCTTCCGTAAGCCAAACAAGTCAGGATAAAAATATTAGTGTTCTTGTCATTAATATGGGAGAGGGCATTCCTGAATCATGTAGTCCATGAGTCACATGTGTTGTGACAGTATTAAAAAACTCTTAGGTTTGGCTAAGGTATAAAGGGAATAAATGTAACTTACCAAATGTGTTTTCCATGCTTACTTCAACATTAGTACTAAACATACATCAGGCTTTATATTTTAGGAATACCAGGGCAGTAAAAACTGTCTTGCTGTATAAACCCTCTTGGGTTTGGAGTGTGTAATTTTATAATACAAGAAGGGAAAGGCAGCGATGTATTGCAGGGACTCCTAACATTAGGTCGTTTACCTAACTTGACATCATTTGAATGTTTATAGTCTGTGTTCTCTTGTGGCTTGTAGTGGTTGCCATAGGCCCCGTACTGATTAAGGTCCAGATAACCTCCACCTTCTGAGCAACATGAAGCTTCTCACCCAACCAAATTCTTCCAACCTCTGTGGTTGAAGGGATGACCTTTGGGAAGGAAAAAAGATTTCAGATTATCTACTCATATGTATTTTACTTTAAGTTCACTCTGTGAGGGGATGGTTGGTGAAATAGTGGCCTATAAGTGAAAGTGACATCTCATTTCAGCAGAAGCAGCGGATAATTGTGGATTTTCATGCCTAAATTTTCATAATACCGACAAGGTAAAAATCTGTAAGGTGACGTGGGAATCCATAGCTCTCCCCGCCAAATGTCTCAAGTGAGAACTTCATTTTGAAGCCCGTGGTAGCATCAGTGAGGTTAGTTAGCCATAATGTCAGGTCGATTCCCACTGACTAGTCACTGACATGAGACGGCTGTAGATGAATTACTGTACACTTAGTTTTGAGTTAAGTATTCTGGATATCATCTTTCTAAAGAAGCTTTTTTTAATGTAGGGAAGTATCATTAACCTAAGGTGAAGTCATGTATGTTGTGTTGGCCCTTTGACCATAATAGGCAATAGAATTATCAAGACTTGTGTAAAACCACTAGATGGATTTAAGGTTTTTTTGTCCAAACGTTTTCTGTTACTCTTTGGAATGCCTAAGGAGGACATGCATCATACCTAGAAAAAGATCCTCCATATTAAGTATATGTAATAATGTGTGACTCATCTGAGATCTTCAGTCTGATTTCACTGGGAATCGTAATTTGATTATAAAATTTAACTGTCTCCTTTTTTCCCCTCTTTTTTTTGTAGGCTTTTCCCCTCTGGTGCTATGTCCATTGACAATGACAGTGTCTGTCTCATAGAGTACCTGGTGTACTCCGGGTATATAAACAAACACTGGATGGCGGTGGAGGTGACTGTATCCGCACAGAGAGACGTTGTAGTTTTTTTTTTAAAGATGCGTAGCTTGTGCTGCCCCCGAGTTTTAGAAGTAACAACTGGAAATGTGTCCTAAAAGGGGATTCCCTTTTGCTTCGGGCGGGATTACCCCGCTGGTTCTCTGTCCGCCTAGTTCCTTCTCTAGCAGGCCATGTTGAAACACGCTTCCCCAGCAGCTGTGGGTTCCTGTTGTCACTCAATGGTTTGGCCATTCCTGGGATCAGAACTCTTTTTTATGTTAGATTGATTTCTTTTTTCCTTCCCATTCATCCATCATACACAGACTCAATTTTAGCTTTTCTTTTATGAACATATGCAGGTGATAGAAACTTTAAAATTCAGAGTGCTGTGTTGATTTAAGAGGGATGTAAAATTGCTTAACTGCCAGGTAGATAGCTATCTGGAATCTTAGAGGGAAAAAACCTCATCCAAGTATGTTTTTGAGGTGCCAACAAAGGTCTGAGCCTCATAAAAATGTTTCCTCAAAATCTTTTCCATAGATGGACTGGTTATATATTCTTGAATATCTTTGTGCTTCACTTTATTAGTAAGTGCTGAGAGCTTTGGTGCCACATGAACTATCTTCTACTTTTTATCCCCGGGAGGGCACAGTTGTGTATGTCAGGTGCATTATGTGAGTGACTGATGTATGATACAGAAGGAAACTAATGTAACTTTAGAAGATAGTGATACTTTCTTACTCTGTGAACTATCTTTGAATATTGGAATATTATTTATGTTCAGTTTATTCTTTTGCCATTTCTTGTCTTTTTCTTTTTGATCATGTTTTCCATTGCTTTTCTTTTTAATGACATGCTTAATATTTTGGTATGTCTTTCCATGTGTTTTCTTGTGTGTATACTTGTATGTGTGCATTTTAAAACAAGAACGCCATCATATTTGTGTCGGGTTAGGTCCCCCGGGAAGCACACTGGGTCTGTCTGGATGAGCTTGCGGGAGGAGGCGTGAGAGAGCGTGCTCCTGGGATCGGTGCGGGGGCGGGGGGCGGGAGGGGCACGGGAGTGGGGGGGGGTGGGGGAGGGAGTGAACTGAAGAAAGCGGAAGCCTGCGGGGCCGCAGAGCTGTGCCGAATTGTGGAGAAGGCGTGGCTTCCTGAGACCCCGCTGTCTACCGCTTAGGCCCCCGGGCGCCCCCAGTGGGGAGAAGAGGTCGCTCACCCTTAAGGGGCCTGGCCAGCACCTCCCAGCTTCCTCAGTGACACCGGACACTCTGCCTGGTTGGCCGTCTGCGCAGCCGCGCAACAGTACGTCCTTTCTCACCATTTTCTCAATTTTCCTGCAGGGCTGCATAAGCTTCACTTATCAGACACGTCAAGGGATTCAGAGACATCAAAGCCGTCTGCAAACGGGCATCACAAAGCACTGTGAGAACGCGCAGCGCTCTGCCACTGACCCGGGAGCCCCCGGCTCCCGACCGACCGCCCCGTCGGTCAGAAATGACTCGCCCCGGCGGTGCCTCCCGGTGAGCGCCCGGGCCCGGCGGCGCCACCGCTTTCACAGTCTCCTAAGAACTCGGCCGCCACAGGCCACGTGTCCGTTTAACTCCGTGCGGACCCCCTACTCGCCGGCCAGACAGGCTCCTCGGGGCGGCACGTTCTTCTGTGGACGCGGGTGCTGGCGGCGGTTGGTACAGTCACCCAGACGAGCATGTTTTGAGGCCAACTCCGGGGCTTTCTAAGAACTCAGTTAAATCCCATTATATACTTTGTTCAGGACGGAGAAGGCCGCGAGAAAGGCATCCTTGGTGCTTGGCTGTGAAGTGAAGGCCCTGCAGACACGCAGGCTTACGGCTGCCCCCGTTGGGTGGCGCATGGGGACGCAGCGCTTGCAGATGAGGTTTCTCCCCTCCTTAGGGAAAAGGACAGAAGCATATAGTTCCGGGTTTTGTTTCAGGGTGATAGCGATTGGCCTTTGAGTCCAGGGAGGAAGGCGAAATTCTTGTAAAACCCGATCCGTGGGAGGACACGTGGGAACGCCTGCCACCGCGCGGTGTGGTCAGCTCGGCCGGAAGTAGTACGTGGTCACCGTTCTCCGACGTCTCACGTGTATGCGACTCAGTATTACCTCTCGTAACATAGTTGCCGGTGTTGAATACACTTGTAACTTAGATTTTGCCTTATAGGCTATGTGTACACTCGGTTTTTTAAAGCATTTCTTCAGATATCTCTCAGTTCCTTGTTCTCCTGTGTCCCGTTATGAAACTACAAATCATCTGTGGTAGAAACCCCGCTGTCACCACACTCTTCAGGCTTTGGTTCCTTTCGTATATGCCGATTTAAACCTCAGATTTATAAAAGTTACCAGGTTACCACCCAGATGCACAATATCAGCATTCATGATGTAAGAATAGCTCTACGATGTATCGTGATCAGATAATCATTCAGTTACTGAATTGTAAATAATTCTTGGGATGGCTTCTTGACTTTAAGTCCACTGAATAAAACTATAAAATTGTACTCTGTGTTACGAGGCACTAGGATAGGGTACTGAAAATTGTGCATGCAGACACGTGACACGAGCCCCTTTGCACACAATTCATAGTTATGCAGTCTCCAGAAACACTTACGTTCACATGCACTGTGTGTATGGCAATAGATTGTCTGTGTTCAGACAAAAGTAAAAGAACAGTTTTCTCAAGTTGTTTTTTGGAGAAATTTATGAAAATCCGGCTGTATATATTTGACATAAAAAATTTCCATTTAGAGCCAAAATAATAAGAAAAATTAATCTGTGTATTCCTCAGTTCCATTGAGTATACCTCTCCTTTATTTATACCTCTGCATTTCCTTCTGAGCTTCTCTGCTTGTTAAGATGCAGCTTCGTTGTAAAATAAAAGACCATTTTGTGATTCTAAACAACTCAGTAAATACCACCAGTGTAGCATTGGGAATCTCTCAGCATGAGACCTGCATAGTGAGCAAATGAACAGAAGATGGCTATTTCCTAATTTCACTGATAATCACACCTATTTAAACATTAATTGCAAGCTTTGATTTTTACTGAAACTTGCTTGCAATCCATATTTTGAACAGACCTGGTCAAGGAAAGAAGAGAAAAGAAAGTTCTTTCAGTAAAAGAACATCACTTGTAACTTAACATCCGTAGGAAGTTCCTGGGTGTTTGTAAGATGTCTGAGAATTTCTGAGTCAAATATTAAACTTTTCAATGTCTGTATCAATTCTTTGTTCATTTGAAAGTTTCTTTGCATCGGAAAACTTAGGCCAGGTTTGGATTAGTAAGCGGTGAAATGTAGCATAAATTCCTACAGCTGCTACTGGATGCCTCGTCATGGCTCTGGGACCAAGGACACACCTCACGTGGGGGGACGGTTTTGAGCCTGGGGCCTCAGACCCCTTTTGTGGGAACAAATGCAGGTTGATATATCCTCCCTGTTCGCCGCATGATTGCAGCCACTCCAAACAGTGCATCCCTGGTTACACACAGAGACTTCCTCTTGGGGGACAGACTTTGTAAATGCAGGTGCTCCTGTTGGATGCTCTGGAGGCCGGCTGTGAGAGGCTGCGACAGAAACGGGCCGTGGCACACAGAGGCCGAGCACTTGGGCTCTGGTCAGGACAGGTGCCCTGCGGGCCTTGCCTTTGTCGCGCTCGTGGAGCTGGAGCAGGAGGATAGGCCCGGGGCCGCCATTTCGTTCTTGCCGGGTGGGAGGACGTCCACGGTCGCCCTGTCAGATGCTCCGCTTAGTCTCACCTTAGGATCCACCTGCAAAGGGCATTAGGCACCGTAGTTACAAAGTTGCGTGAGGAGACTTGGCCAGTTCTTATCTTTGATTGCTTCTGCAGTACTTAAGTAATTTTAAAATGATACATCTTATAGATTATGACATTTGCAATTTTTACTGATGTTTCCAAGTATTTCTTAGATTCAGTATTTACTTAGCCTTATATATATTCTGTGCAAAAACAGACCTGCTGTCGAAGTGAGACTATGTGAAAATTACACGTGTGCCCACACATACACGCACATGCCAGCTCCTTCGGCGCCATACTGAGCGGTTGGTGGATTCGTGGACGAGAATGAAACCTTCTGCCTGGTTTTGACTCTTGGATGCGTTAGTGGCTCACCCTGTACACACCTGATCTTCAGGGCCTCGACGTCTGCCTCAGTTTGCTGGGGCACGGAGGACCGCCCTGGTCCTCCTTCACCCCGTAACCTGCCTGCAACGTGGGCTTTGAGAACCCTACGTGGCTTTCTTTGTTGTTAGCGCAGTATTTAATGTATAAAGACAAAGTTCTTAAAATATTTTTTTTTTTAAATATGAGTCTACGTACAGCACTCACTGACTTTTATACTAAAAACTGGTGTGGGTTAAAGATGATGTTTAGATGCACTGGTAAGTCATTTTTGTTTACTAGAGTGTTCTGTTTGCAAATTATCTGTTGGTTCTGTTTGTTTCTATGAGACACTTCTAGTGTGACTTTTTAATGTCTCAGAAATTGAAGTTTTACAAAAGGTGATTTCATACTTTGTTTTATAAGCATTCAAATGCGTGTTTGAGTTTTAAATCTTAAATGCATCGTGGCTGAAACTTAAGCGTATGTGTAGGATGCTTCCATTTCAGTTTTCTAAAAGGCAGTAATGACTCTGGTGGGATGTTGAGCGGGGGAAGAAGTGAATGTTTTCTCTCTTTTTTTGTGGAGTTCTTGGTAGAGCAATTTGTTGCAACCAGTTACAGCTAAAATGTACCATCAACAATTGAAATCACGGGTGTCATCGAATTTTTTGAGTTACTTAGTTGATTTTTCTAATCTTTTCCATAAAAGGACTGAGCTATACCCAGTTGTGGTCTGGGCAGCCTAATCCACAGTTCTTGGAAGAGTGAATGGCCATTGTCAACTGGTGAATTCACTGGCAGACAGAAGCCTTCACAGCAGTGGCTTTCCAGCTCTTTGACGAAAGGAAGAAATACACTCTTCATTGTAACCCTCACACGCGTGTATACGTGTGAACGACAATTTAAGGAAATAGTACCTACTTTCGGTATGTGATGCACGCTGGCATTTTCTGTTTTATTTTTTAGGATACTAGACACAGACCACTAATGCCAAGGGATCGTAAACTTTAGTTTGAAAAATACGGCTTCAGGATCTAGTTGAAAGATGAATGAATACAAAAACATTTTGGCTTTTGAATATTCTTTAGGTAAAAGTCATCACTGCAAACACCCCTGAAGCCGAAGTATTATACGTGCAGATTACTTGTTGCACTGCAAAACATGTAATTAAAATCAGTAGAAGTTGCTAAAGCTCGGGGGCGCCTGGGTGGCGCAGTCGGTTAAGCGTCCGACTTCAGCCAGGTCACGATCTCGCGGTCCGGGAGTTCGAGCCCCGCGTCAGGCTCTGGGCTGATGGCTCAGAGCCTGGAGCCTGTTTCCGATTCTGTGTCTCCCTCTCTCTCTGCCCCTCCCCCGTTCATGCTCTGTCTCTCTCTGTCCCAAAAATAAATAAACGTTGAAAAAAAAAAGAAGAAGTTGCTAAAGCTCTAAAAAGTGGGCTATGAAATTTCAAAACTAGGTGATTGATCCCTTCGTTTTGGAGGAAGAGATCTGGGAACTACTCTGGAAGAGAAGTTAGTTAACTTCCAGCTCTGCGTAATTCAGTTCGGTGAAAGTGTCTTCAAGTGTGATCAACTCGGAAATTCAGATGAAGCCCACTTCGTCTTAGGTGCGATTTTGGTGTTCTGTTCTCCTAAACCTACTGGAGAAGTCAAGTTCCCAAGCATGGGTGATGAGAAGTAGGGCGGCGGCACCTGATGTGCGTGATTCCGGAGGAGCAGAAAGATCGTCAGTGTCTGAATGTGAGGAGGTAGAGATTTAAATGCGAAGCTGAGGAAGAAAGTTTGATCAGTCACTGAACCTCCTGGGTGAATGTCTTAATGTCTTCTCTCTTGGAAAGCTCTTCTTAAAAGATACACTGCTTGCCAACAGTGGCCCCTGCGAACCCGGGACACGCTGGGACTTTGAGGGGCTGGACCGTTCTGCCCTATTGAGTAGCCACAGCTGTTGTATCCTATCGAATGGCTATGCGTACTTACAGATAGCTTTTGCATATGTCTTAGCACATTGTTCTGTTCTCGCTTTAGAAAGTTGTGATGAAGAGCTTCTCTTTTTTTGCACTCTCAGTACTTCACTTTTGGCCACCACGTGTGGGGGGGGTTTTCCCGCACCAGCCTCTTCTCCCAGTTCTCCGTGGATACCGTATCTGTGGCACACAATTTGATTTCCTTCTGACGCCATGTCCGTGGAGTTAGTGCAGACCCCACAGGTAAAGGGCTCAGTCCAAGATTGGCTCCCACCACCGCCTCAGTCGCCAGTGGCAGGTCTGGGCTGTCCCCTGTGCGTCGACCAACCAGCTCTCAGTCAGAGGTTCCCACCTCTCTCTGGCTCAGCGATTTGCTAGAGCGGCTCACGGAAGTCCGGGGAACAGTGCGCTTACCGGATTACCTGCTAGTGACAGAGGGTCCAGCTCAGGAACACCGGATGGAGGCGGCACACGGGCCAGGGGTCGGGGTGGGGACAGAGCTTCCCTGCCCCCGCCAGGTGCACCAGCCGCCCCGCACCGCCAGGTGCTGCCCGGCCCGGAAGCTCCCTGAACCCCTTCAGTTAGGGTGTTTTCAATGGAAGCTTCATTACACAGACATGATTGAGGAAAGGATTGGCCACTAGCGATCCTCAGGCTCCAGGCCTTCCTGCTCCCCACGGGTCGGAAGGGTGGGACCGAAGGTGGTAGTTCCCACTGGCCTGCTGTAGGAGCTTTCCCAAAGACAGCTTATTCACGGAAGCTCAGGTGTGGTCCAAAGGGCTCCTTACGCATATCAAAAGACACCTTTATCTTCTTATCGCTTTAGGAAATTCCACAGGCTTCATCTCCGTGCCAGGAATGGGGAGGAAGCCCAAATACATATTTCTTACTCTGAGTTACAAATTCACCCAGTTCCTAGGTATTAAAGTCTTGGATCAAAGGGAATGCACATTTTCAGACTACTTCCAGAAAGATCCTATCAATATACTCTCATCAACAGCACGTGAAGATGTGTTTCTCTAGCTAACACTGGATTTTGCCGGTCTTTTACGGGAGTGCCGACCTGAGAGGCAATCATTTCATTGTTTTTCTTTGCATTTTTAATAACTACTGGGAATTAAAAAAAAAAAAAATTTATCAGCTGTTTGTATTTCTACTTTTGTGAATTAGTATTAAATATACTTAGCCCATATGGATATTAAATGTTTATCTTTCTGATGTGTATATTTTTCCTGGTTTTTTTTTTAAACTTGTCCAATATTGGGTTTTTATGGTATTGAAACTTTACATTTTGAAGTAGTCAAAATGTGCAGTTTCCCATAATTTCTTGGTGCCATACTAAGGCCTTCGCTACCCTAAGACTTTTAAAGGTATTTCCCAATTTTTGCCCCTAACTACTTTGAGATGCAATTCACATATTACAAAACTCACTCTTAAAGCATATGATTTGTTGATATATAGTATATGCACAGAGTGGAGCAGCCATGACCACCATGGAACCCCGGATCATTTTTGTTACCCCACACCTAACTGCTTCTGTGTCTGTATTTTTTTTTTTTCCCCCGTAATTCATCAACCTCTTATCTGGATTTGTCTTGCCGAAAGGAATCAGATCACGATTGTGCAGAGACGTCACTGGCCACACAGCAACCATTCGTGCCAGGCGACCCAGCTCCGGTTTTTTTCAGGGTGGCACTGTGCCCGCCATGTGGCGCGGATCTGACCAGGGAGCTTGTGCAGAGTGTTGTGTAGGACCTCCAGGAAGGTGACTCGGAAGACGCCTGGCACTGCCCCACCTCCACCCTTCCTTTCCTCCGTGGCGCCATGGATGGGACGGGATGGGACAGCTGGGACCCCAAGAGCCGCTTCGGATTGTGACTTGCCCACTTGCCCATGAAGACAGTTGAAAGAGTTCGGATGCCCACCGAGTGCACAGCTGCCTGGCCGCCCACCCTCCGTGGCTTCTGTGCAGATGGCGACCCCTCTTAGATTCAGACGCCGCATTCAGCCGATGGGAGCACCTCAATGCAGTTCTGTCCTATCCTTGACTAATTTTATTGTTTCCCCAAAGGACAGGCCGGTATGACAGAGCCGTATGTTAAACAGTAATGTGATTTCAGCGCCGTTTTCATGAACT